TACATGTGCAGATCGTGCAGGTTTGTTACATAGGTATACATGTGCCATGCTGGTGGTTTGCTGCATCCATCGCCCCGTCATCTACATTAGGTATTTCTCCTAATGTTACCCTCCCCAATCCCTCACCTGCTGCTATTTCTCCCCTAGCACCTCATCCCCCCGGCCCCAGTGTGTGATGTTCCCCTCCCTGTGTCCACATGTTCTCGTTGTTCAGCACCCACTTATGAGTTAGAACATGTGGTGTTGCATGCATTTTAATGTTATCTTTGTTTTAATGTAAAAAATATTTTGCATAACTAGGTGATGAATAATTCTGTGTGACTTTTCTTCTTTGTTGTAGAAGTTATTGTGTCTATCAGATCATATTTTTAATGTGAAAAGTTTTAGAGTCAAGGGCATGTCTTTAAGATGATGTATCATTACCTATAAAAATAAACTAAGTGAAGTTGCAATTTTTAGTGTAATACTGAATTTCAAAGTAAGTAAAGTTAATAAAAGGGATACAAGTCATATTCAGGATTCAGGAATATTTGGACCACTCAAATTGGTAATTGGCAAATAAGTCAAATAGCCTAGAATTTTTAGCCAAGCAAGAGAAACAGGTGGGATTGGGGCCAACATGGCTGATTAGAAGCAGCTGAGGTCTGCAGCATTCACAGAGAGGAATGAAAGAGATGAGTGAATACAGAACTTTCAACTGAAATATTCAGGTTCTTACATTGAGACTGATGAAGGAAACGACTTCACACAAGGAGAATGGAGAAAAGCAGGATGGGGCTATGTCCTACCCAGGAATGACATGGAGCCAAGGGAACCCCCAAACCCTGCCAAGAGAAGCACCGAGTGACCATGTGATGCTGAGAAACATGCTTCTCCCATGGATATTTGCAACTCACAGATTAGGAGATCTCCCTGTGAGCCCATGCCACCAGAGCCTTGGGTCTGAAACACAGAGCTGTGTAGAGTCTTGGTAGAGCAACTGTTCAGGCATGCACAGAGACATAAGAGCTTCACAAACCCCACCCTGGGATTCCCAACAAAGGTATCTGCAACTCATGCAAGGTGGGAGGTCTGCACATACCCCTAGGAAGGGGGCAAAATCCAAGGAGCTGAGTGACATTGTTCTGAGGCTCCATTTTCATGGAACCTCACAAGATAAGACCCACTGGCTTGGAATTTCAGCCAGCCACTGGAAACACTGCAAAGCCCGACTGAGACCAGGTGGAGTCTTTGAGAGAAGTAAGGACACCATCTCTGCTATTTGGTTTACGGGGCCATTCCAGCCTGTGGGCTTTGGAGAGTCCAAAGGGTCCAGATGAGGAGGAAGGGTTCCCCATTGACATAACACAGTAGCTTTGCCAGATTGTGGCCAGACTGCTTCATTAAGCAGAGCCCTGATCCATTCCTCCTACTGGGTGGGACCTCCCAGCCGGGCCCTCCAGCCACACTCGCCTGCATGGCAGACCTATGATCTCTCTCTGGGATGGAGTGACCAAGGGAGGGGAGGGTTGCCACCTGGGTTGGAAGATTCAGTCATTCCAGCCTGTGGGCTTTGGAGAGTCCAAGCTGATGGGGCAGAGGCAGTTCCCCACCACAACATAGCTGTTTTGTTAAGAATGCCGTCTCTCACCATGACTATTCAACATAGAATTGGCTATTCTGGCCACGGCAATCGGGCAAGAGAAAGAAATAAAGGGTATTCAAATAGGAAGAGAAGAAGTCGAATTATCTTTGGAGATGTCATAATCTTATAGCTAGAAAACCTCATCATCTCAGCCCAAAAAATTCTTAAGCTGATAAGCAACTTCAGTGAAGTTTTGGGATATAAAATTAAATGTACAAAAATCACATGTGTCCCTATAAACCAACAAGAAGCAATCAGAGGGTCAAATTATAACTGAACTCCCATTTACAATTGACAAAAATAATATAAAATACCTAGGACACAGCTAACAAGGGAAGTGAAGGATCTTGTCAAGGATAAATATAAACCTCTACTCAGAGAAATCAGGATGACACAAATAAATGGAAAAACATTTCATGCTTATGGATGTGAAGGACAAGAATAATCAACATCATGAAATTGGCCATACTGCCCAAAGTAATACATAAATTCAATGCTATTACCATTAAACTACCATGGACATTCTTCAAAGAATTTTAAAAAACTATTTTAAAATTTACATGTAATCCAAAAAGAACCTAATGGCCAACACAATCCTAAGCAAAAAGAACAAAGCTGGAGGCATCATGCTACCCAACCTCAAACTATACTGCAAGGATACAGTCACCAAAACAGCATGGCCCTGATGCAAACAGACATAGACCAACGGGACAGAGTAGAGAACTCAGAAATAAGACCATACACCTACAACCATCTGATCTTCAACAAACCTGACAAAAACAAGCAATGGGGAAAGGTTTCCTAATTGAATAGATGGTGCTGGGAGAACCAGCTGGTTATATGTAGAAATTGAAACTGGACCCCTTCCTTACACCATATACAAAAATCAACTCAAGATGAATTAAAGACTTAAATATAAAACCCAAAACTATGAAAACCTCAGAAGGAAATCTAGGCAATGCCATTCAGGACATGGGCACAGGCAAAGATTTCATGATGGAGATGCCAAAAGCAATTGCAACAACAGGAAAAATTGACAAATGAGATATAATTAAATTAAAGCACTTATGCACAGTTAAGGAAACTATCATCAGAATGGACAGACAACCTACAGAATGGGAAACAAATTTTGCAAACTATCCATCTTACAAAGTTCCGGTTTCTACAAGGAACTTAAACAAATTTACAAGACAAAAACAACCCTGCTGAAATGTGGGCAAAGGACATGATCAAATAATTCTCCAAAACAGATATATATATATATATATGTCCAACAAACATGAAAAAAAAAGCTCTACATCACAGATCGTTAGAGAAATGCAAATCAAAACTGCAATGAGATACCATCTTACAGCAGTCAAAATGACTATTCTTAAAAAGCCAAAAAAAAAAAAAAAAAAAAACCCAACCAAACAAACAAACAAAAACAGATGCTGGTAAAGCTGCAGAGAAAAAGGAAAGCTTTTATGCTGTTGGTGGGAGCACAAATTAGTTCAACCATCGTGGAAGACAGTGTGAAAATTCCTCAAAGACCTAGAGGCAGAAATACCATTTGACCTAAAAATCCCATTACTGGGTATAAACCCAAAGGAATATAAGTCATTCTATTGTAAAAATACATCCACACATATGTTCATTGTGGCACTACTCACAACAGCAAATTTTTTCCTAAAGAAGGCTGTCTTCACGACACATTCTAATGTTGGCCCTGTTGCCTTTAAACAGGACATATTAACCTATTCCTTGTATTATATTAACCTATTAAACTGGTTCATAATATTTATTATTTGAAGTGATTCCTATTTGCTTAGTTGTTTTAAGATAAGAATAATAGATGCTATATGTCTGATTCCTCCACTAGGTCACGAACTTAATGAGCTTAAGGATCTTGTCTATTTGTTCCCTGCTATATGCCAAAGTATAGTATCTTGTATAGCAGAAACGTTTAATAAATATTCTTGAATGAATAGGTATTTCATTACTTACCAACTGTTATATATTAAGAATCATCGACAACATAATATGAGCTCTTTTTGTAATTTACATTTTAAAGAATTGAGCAACATGATTTTTTTCCTAATGGGAACATCCATAATGGAAAGAATAGTACCAAGAATCAGAACACACCTAAGTTTAAACTGAGGACCAGCTTGGCTTTTTTCAGTTCCAAGGTAATGTAATCTCCTTGCTGTCCTTCTCCATGCAAGATTACTCCTTCACTTTCAGAAGTCTTAAATTTCAAGGCAATTACATCTTTCAGCGTTTTCATCTTCTTGTTTCTGAATCTATATGGTAACACAACATGGCCATCAAAGTTGATAACATCAGCCCCTAAAAAAAAATAATAATAACATATTAGTTGAGTCATGTATGTTACCATCCACTTCCAACAGGTGTCTGCAGAGAATAAATGGGAGTTAAATAGGAGATTTTCTTGAGAAATTGATAGTCCTCTGTTCTTATCCTACTTCTTTTTTTGATATATTGTGTGTTTTAAAGGAGGTTTTATGGAGAGTCTTGATAAAATTGCTCCTACAAGCTCTATCACTTGAACATTTTACTTTAATTATAAAAGTAGTAATATAAATTCAATGGGTCATATGCTTTAAATATTAACTTGGGAATCTAGAGTTTAGATCTAGAGTTTAGTCCAAAATAGTAAAAATTTTAAATCTCTAACAGATTATGAGACTTAAATGTTTTATTCCTTAATGATGATAATTCTTCATGATTTTAAAGTATATATTTTACTCAAAAAGTTGTTTTCTTTGATATACGAATAAAGGCACTTGGAATGCAATCTTGCATGCTATTTTCATTTTTTCCCAATGGTTTTGGTATTTCACCACAATTTTAGTAAACCTTGTTGTAGTATTCAGAGTTTGCAAACAATTGAATTTTTGGAAACTTCTCAACATTTATCTTTAGGAATCAGTCTGTCTCAAATTTCTTATTACCTCCTTGCATTTGGAATGGAGAATTGGGCAGCCCTGTTAGTTTCTTTATTACATTGGACACAGATATCTTCACTTTTCATATATGAGTTCCAAGAACAAATATCCAGCATATACTACTCCAGCATCTCAAATTTTAGTTTTAGGGGATTAGATTAAAATAAGGAAAGTATGTAATCTTCTTAAAAATTTGTAATCCCAGCACTTTGGGAGGCTGAGGCGGGTGGATCACGAGGTCAAGAGATCGAGACCATCCTGGTCAACATGGTGAAACCCCGTCTCTACTAAAGATACAAAAAAATTAGCTGGGCGTGGTGGTGTGCACCTGTAGTCCCAGCTACTCGGGCGGCTGAGGCAGGAGAATTGCCTGAACCCAGGAGGCGGAGATTGTGGTGAGCCGAGATCATGCCATTGCACTCCAGCCTGGGCAAAAAGAGCAAAACTCCGTCTCAAAAAAAAAAAAAAAAAAAAAAAATCGAAATTTTGTCACTATGATCCAAAATATATGATTGTGAGGATTCATTTTATAACTACTATTTATTTTGCAGCAGGAATAAAAATGAGATGATATGTATTAGGGACTACTGGCAATGGGCTCTCAATTCATAGAGTGATTCCAACATGCAATGTAACCATTCAGATCAAATATTGAGTTCAAACAGAAGCTTCATTACCATTATCAAATCTTCGTGGTTAAAAATATTTTCAATAGACTATTTCTGTAAGCTTTTCATTTTTAAATCACAGAAATCTTAGTCAAACTGAACAGCTCTAATAACTTTAGAATTACAAGCTTGGACAAAGCTAGCCTGTAGGTTTTGGGCAAGGTCTGGCTAAAGAACTCCAGAGGGAGACATTGGAGAAAAAGAACAGCCAGTTTAAAGCCTGTCAGAGAAATATTTTCTCATTTCATGTCCTAGTTCTCTGGCACTTGTTTACTTCAAACACCAGCAGGAACACTTTGGTTTGCCTTATAAGTGGAGCATACCACCAGATAAATCCCTGTGGTGGCCACGGTAGAGAAACAGAGCTACCAGAACCACATCCAATATTTTTATGTGTAGATTTTACCTAATTGTATAAAGTAAACTGTCGTGAACACAGTTACTTCGAATTACTTAAGATTAAACCTAAGCTTGCCTTTCAAATCATTGATGGCTTTCACAGACTTTGAAACTATGCTGGTATCCCAAATATTTAAGCTTTTAAATAAGTTTGTACAATGTTACAATATAAAACGTTCAGAAAAAAATATGACTTTAAACTTTAAGTTTTAATTCTTATAATCAGCTCTCTATTGCCCATAAAAAGACTTTCTTAATCAAAAGAGTTCTGTTCTCTGAGACTGTGAATCACAGAAGTTTATTTTAATACGAGGGGAAAAAATCAACCATTAAATTTTGGCTTCTGCTAACACTGCAAAGCCAATTAGACTTTAGCTTAATCATACACAGTGTCACAGCTGAATTTCAATGGCAATATCTTTATCATCCGCAATGAGAAATAAAGGAGAGAAAAAAATGGAATCTGACTTTCAGATTTCAGGTTGAACTTAGAATCCAGCAGTTGGTAGACAGTTTTTGCCTTGAAAAGTGAATAAAAGAAAACTAGAAGGGAGTAAATTCTGAACTCTAGACAGTAATTTTGCAGTCAATTTCATGAGTGACAGTTAAATAATAGACACATCATTGTTTTATACACCTTCAGCATATTTTAATTGACGTAAAATATTTCTAATTCATCTCTCAGGAAGTAAATGTTCCCTGAGCTTTTACTCAGGGAACATGAATCACCACTTCTATACTTTCTTCTAAATCAAAACACATTTATTTCTAGGTACAGAATAGCAATTTATGAAAATGTTAACATATTTCTGTCTTACTTTTAGAGCAATGAGAAAACGTGACAGAAAAGATAAAGATGGTTTTTTTTTTTCAGACAATCTAACAATATTAATAAAAACTGGAAGGACAGCTATTCATGTAGACCAAGTCTCACTTTACAAATGGTAAGTAGTCAGGGTCAGCTGCGAACAGAATGGTCTGCAACCTAGATTGCTCACAAAGAAAAACAAAAAGTGTAAATGGATTTTCCCACCTATTTATCCATCTATCTAAAACAAAATTAAAAGTTGTTTTTCTTTGAATGGGTTAAATGCTTCCAAAATATCAGCATGTCCTCTTGCGGATATAAGCTCAGAGCTAGCTTGAAAATTATAAAATTTCTAGAAATAATCTATGACATAGAACATGCACTTTAACACATACTGCACTTTTCAAAAAGTCTGAGATATTCTACAATAATGTAAAGAACATCCATCACCGTTTAGCTCTGTTTCCTACAAAAATACATTAAAATTTCATATGACATCTAATAACCCTTTGTGCTTATTTGGGGACAAGCCACTTTTTTCTTCTATTATTCTGATTGCTTATCACTCCCTAGAATTAAGTTTTCTATGCAGTGATTAAATATGTATGGTTGAACTGTTTAAGCAATCTGAAAAATAATGGCTAGTCAAAAAGTGAATGCAAAATCATAGTGTTTCCACAATTTTGTTTCTAACAATAGCTCAGCAAGCTGGAAATATGCCCAATTCATCAAATCGTCATGGTAGAAAAGGCTTCTTCAAAAACATTTTATTGTTCCTTAGTCTTTACTTTGTAAATTTGAATAAGATATATTGAAGTGTTTATCATATAAAGATTTTAATATTTAAATTTTACATTTAATATTTTACTTTTAAAAGATATATTTGCTATATATTTTATTACAAACTATGTTTATTACTCAAAAGAAATTAAACAATACAGAAATATAGAAAGTAGAAAGTAAATCCCAACCACAAGAGATCACCAGTGTTCATGGGTCCTTAGTTGGTGCATGTCCTAGATTTTACATATTTATCTATATATCTATCCAACTATCTAAGGTATGGAATAATTCATACACACACACAGAGAGAAACACACACACATATGTGTGTGTGTGTGTATATATATATATATATATATGTGTGTGTGTGTGTGTGAGAGGGGAAGGGAGAAGAATAAACAGAGTGGAAATGAGAGAGGGAGAATTTTATTTCATTTAATCTTGGTCCAAAATACACAATAGTGGTTTGAGTTTGGGTTGATATAATATTCATAGTGTAGGGAAATTGGATGTTTTAGTTAATTAAAATGTTTATTGATCTTGATAAAAGGTCCTTATTAAAGTGAGAATATATATAATTTGGAACTGTAATTTGTCTATATATTTGAAAAAAATAAAAAGTATTTGGACGTAGCACAGCAACAAATAAGGATTTAAAAGTTACTTTTAATACCGTTTCCCCATGAATTTTTTTCAGTTACTTTTATAGGCAATCTAAAAGAAACAAAAAATATTAAAGAAAAAAATCAAAAAGGCATTATTTCATTTTTCTAAAATAACTAATGATAATACACTGTTTCTGATTATTTCAAATTGTATATACAGAATCTTTATGTATGTACATAGATACAGATATGGATAATACTATATACAGTTTTGTGCTTGGTTTTTGTTACTATACATTATTTTTTTAAACTTTATCTCATAATTTTGTTTTCCAAAGCAAATTTTGATTAGCTCAAAAGATACCATTATTTAAGTGAACAACTTCTTCAATAAAAATTGTGGTCAAAGTTTGTTTTTATTTTCATAAATAAACTTTTTATTTTGGAAAAATTTTAGATTTAGAGAAAAGTCGAAAAGATAGTTGGAAAGATAGAGTTCCCAAACCTTTCACCCAGCCTCCTCTAATATTAAGATTTTACGTAAGCTGGTACACTGTCAAAACTAAAATACTAACTTAAGTAAAGTGGTATTAACTAAAATACTGATTATCCTTGGATTTCACCAGTGCTTCACTAAGGCTTTTCTGTTGCTTTTTCAGGACTCAATCCAAGATCTCACACTGCATTTAGTTATGATGCCTCCCGAGTCACTTCTAATCTGTGACAGTTTCCAATTCTTTCCTTGTCTGTCATAACTTTGCCCTCTGGAAGAGTACCAGCCAGGTATTTTGTAGAATCTTTTTCAGTTTGGATTTGTCTGATGTTTTCTTAGGACTAGACTGGCATATTGATATTTGAGGAGAATATCACAGAGTTATAGAATCATATATTTCTAATATATATAATTTTTAATTATATAATATATATTATATAATTGAAAAATATATATAATATAGATTTTTAATTAGAGAAAAAAGGAAATAAAATTAAAGACATTTTTAAAAAATATATAATAATTAAAAACTAGTAAATTTGGAAGTTTATATTTTGTGATGAAGGTATATATATTTCACAAATACATATAAAGCATGTAAATAGAAAAAAATAGTAAAAATGT